GCCGCCCGCCCTCCGGGGATGGCAGCCCACCTGGGGGCGCTCGCAGCCCGGAGCAGCGGGGCACTGGGCCGCCGAGCCGCGGCTGGAGTCTGAAGGAGGAAGGGATCCTGGAGCCACTCCGGCGACAGACTTCTAGTGCTCTTGTCTGAGGTGAGCAAAGCTGGGAGAAGCGACTGCTTCAGGGAACCTGGAAGGATCCCGCCCTCCACAGCCAAATGGTGGGCGCCGCTATTGGGGGGGGACCACCGCTCCTGGGGCCCCAGATATAGAGCTTCCGGTCCTTCAATCCCACCCCCACTCTGGCTCTCTGATCTCCAGCTTCCCGCTGACCCACGGTGCACCTCCGAACCCCAGCCCAGAGTTGAGTGCGAAGACACGCCCACGCTCACCTGCCGCGCACCCNGCCCCCTGCACGCACGTCTCACTGCGCATGCGCAGGCAGCCAGCGGCACCTCCCACAAGGCCCCGGGGCGCACCGCCTCAGTCCGCGCGGCCGCTGCCTGGGTGACCTGACCCGGCACTCGGCGCTGCCCCATCCCTCACGCTGCGGCCTGTGGAGATTCCTCTCAGCCTTGCTAAGGGGTAGAAAATTCACTTTTTGTTTTTAGTTCCTGGGATCCTACAGTGGGAGTGACTTCCGATGCAGAGGCTCGCGCTGCACCACGGAGCTCCGAGTGGGGCCGGGGTGAGTCCGCTTAGGATTTTCCTCCCCTTCGGAGTCTGGCTCCTTATCGATTGGGAGCCAAGAGAGGGGAAAGGAACGGTGTCTCTCATTTGGCACGGACCTCTCTGGAATGTCACCACACTGGCTCCCAGTGACACCTGCACGGGCACCTCTGGGCGGGCAGGCCGGCCTTCTAGGGCAGGGTCAGGGGGCCCAGGTGTGTGCGGCCCTCCCTCCCGCACCTTTAACTGATGGGAAGCTCCACCCCACTGTCACCCTCTGGCTCCGTCCCCCAACTCCAGCTAATATACTTACTATAGTGTCCATTCGGCCGCGCCTTTGTCTGCTTTACTGTTTCAACTCAGGCGTCCAAGCCCCTTCTTGCAAATAGCTCCAGTCTCGGTGGGGGAATCTCTTGGAATCCTGTCTTTTGATTTTTGGAAAGAAATGCCAAGGATTCTCTCCCAGGACTGATTCATGATTGCTGATTCCCATCCCAGCCCCTCCAACCAACCTTGTAGTGGTATGAGTTTGTGGAGGTTGGTGGAGCAGGTCTGGGAAAATGGTTGAGGAAAGAGAACTCTGGTCACTTTTAAAATAAGTCCTAGAAGGACTTGCTTGCCCTCTTTAACTTCCTTCGCTCCCTTACTCTAAGAGCAGCCAGCTGCTTTGTTATGAGCTGTCCATGTGGTATGGTACGTGGAGAGGTCTGTGTGGCAAAGGGTTGATGTCTCTCACCAGGTAGGACCTGAGGCCTGCCAATTGCCACATGAGTAAGTTTGGAAGAGGACCTGAGGCCTGCCAATCACCACATAAATGAGCTTGGAAGCATTTCCTTCCCTCTGTTGAGACTTGATGTAGTCTTGTAAGAGACACAGAGCCAGAGGATCCAGTGAAGTCCATGTTCTGGAAGCACTGACTTGTCCACTTTGAATTTCAATATGATGTGTGTGTGTGTGTGTGTGTGTATACATACATGGCATATATCTACATCTATCTATTTATAGGTATACATATACACTTACAAATATATATATAAATTTAAACCAATGTCTCTAAGGCCCTACACCATGTTTACTTCAATCCTTTGATCATTCTCTTACAGCTAACTCTCATCAGCCATTCAGCTTTCTTGCTGCTCCTCCAGAATACCAAGGTTGGTTACTCAGAATCTCTGTACATTTCTTCTGCCTGGACTATTCTTCCCCAGGAAAAAGCCAGATACTGCATGGCTCACTCTAAATTCCTTTAGGTGTCTGCTTACCTGTCACTTACCAGTGATGCTTTTCTTAATCATCTCATATAAAAGAACCTCTCTAATTGTCACCACCACTCTGTATACCCTTACTCTACCTTTATTTTCCTCCATAACACTTGTCACTAACAGACCATGTATCTATCGGGTTTTTATTTATCTCCCTCCACACCAGTTGCATTTTTATACACCAATAATGAACTATCAGAAAGGGAAACTATGAAAACAATCCAATTCACAATTGCTTCAACAACAAAAATACCTACGAATAAATTTAACCGCGGATGTAAAAGACCTGTACTTGGAAAATTATAAGAAACTGAAGAAGATACAAATAAGTGGAAACATATACCATGTTCATGGATAGGAAGAATTAACATCATTAAAATGTCCATGCTACCCAAAGCAATCTATAGATTCAACACAATGTTGTATCTTATGTAGATCCATCCATGAAAAAGAACAGGAATATTTGAGTGCAAATGTTTTATTTACATACTTATTTTCCTCAATGGAATCCTATTGTAATACAGAATTGCTTTTTCCCCTCTCAACTGGTATCTTGTTAAATTTTTTGTTTTTGTGTTTACATACACAGGAAAACATCTTTATAACAAGTTTTATAATTAAAGAGGAGACTCTGGGACTCAGTAACACTGCCCATCAAAAGTGCCAACAAATAGATAAAAATATTTCTGAAATTCATACTACATATTAAACCACATTTCCCCCCTTGCATGTAATTGTTAGGCTTGGAAGAAAAAATGGTGATATTTACTGCAGAAACTCAATAGATATAATTTAATATTATGTATAAACATTTTATACTCATACATAAATGTATCATTTGTTATAAAAATAAAACAATTAGGGATGGTAAATGTAGTTTTCACTGATTCAATTATTTCATTTATGCTTACTTTTGAAGCTCTATGCTCTATTATTTATGATCCAATGTTTTCTGTGATTTTTTTTCTGTAAAAACTTTATCATCACTTCCAGAACATGATTGGACTTGTCTTTTTATGGAAATCTACTCTGTCCAAATTAATTCTAATTCTTGGAATTCTCCTCACTATGAAAACTCTGCTATTTAATAAGATTTATTTAATATCTAAGCTTTCTCATAAAGTGAATATTATGTATGAATTTTTTGATGTACAATAAGATTTGACTTCTGGGAAAATGCTTTCCCACATTTGTTACATTCATAGGGTTTTTCTCCTGTATGAGTTATCTGATGTCTAAGGAGATGAGACTTCTTGATGAAGGCTTTGCCACATTCGATACATCCATAAGGTTTTTCTCCTGTGTGAATTCTTTGATGCGTAACAAGCACAGATGTGTTGCCAAAGGCTTTGCCACATATGATACAATGGTAGGGTTTCTCTCCTGTATGAAATCTAGAATGTTTATAAAGGGATGAACTATACCTGAAGGTTTTCCCACATTCCTTACATTCAAATGAGTTCTCCAGTGTATGAGATTTCACATGTTGAGTAAAGGAGGAGTTCCACGTGAATGATTTCCCACATTGACTGCATTCGTAAGGTTTCTCTCCAGTGTGAAGTCTCTGGTGGACCAAGAGCTGTGTTTTATGCATAAAGGCTTTCCCACAATCATTGCACACAAAGGGTCTCTCTCCATTATGAATTTTCTGATGAGTTGCAAGGTGTGTCTTCCTGCTGTAGGCTTTCCCACAGTCATTACATTCAAAGGGTTTTTTTCTGGTATGATTTTTTTCATGTCTAATTAAATGAAACTTCTTTTTAAAGGCTTTCCCACAGTCCTTGCATTCATAAGGGTTTTCTCCATTATAACATCTATTATAATTAAGTAAATCTAAAGTAGGTTGCAGACTCTTCCCATATGATTTGCATTTATATATTTTTCTTGCATTTATATGATTTTTTCCAGTACGACTTGTGCTCATATTGTAACCATGAAGTCTCTCCATAGTCAGAATTTTATTGAATGTGAACAAAACTGAATTTAAAAAATTCTCTTCGCTTTCCTGGTGCTTCTCTGATTCATCAACAAATGGGCAGTTGGCTTCTAAAAAGGAGTATAATAAAACATTCCTAGTTAAATTTTTTCTATCAACAGTTACAAAAAGAATTTTGTATGACTTCAAATCTAGTCTCTCATTTTGAAGCAAATCCTATATTTGCCTTGCTCCTGAGCTTTAAGAATAAAACTCTAAAGAGGAAATGGGGGCAGATGAATGACAGTAATGAGAACAGATGGCTTAACTTGTGATTTGTGGAAAGACCGTAAAACAGGCACAAGGTACAGTGAGTAGGGTACAAAGGAAGTCAAAGGGTGCTCAACAAGGGTGCATGGTTAGCTCACAGAATGAAGAGAACCCATTGTGGAGATCTAATTAATAGATAGGTTAACCAGGAGAACAAAAAACAAGGGAGTTAAGGGAAAGTATCAGAGGAAAAACTAGACTTGCAGGAGGCCAATCAGAATCAGAGTCCTCACTACCTAATTTCTAGATTACCCTATTAGGATAGCTCCCTATTTCCCTCATTCACATCTCTTTTTGTTCTTAATCACCTGGCACAATGTCAGGAACATTCTTATGTCTCCAGTCCTCTAACTCCATCCAAACCACAACTGAGAGATATCTGTAGACAGGGCTCCAACTTGACTACAGCTGGGATTCATTCTCCCCTGTACTTGCTTGTAAGCCCAGGAACACAAATGTCCAAACAGGTCATCCAAAGCCAAATCATCCTTAGCCCAAGCACAGATTCTGTCTGCAGGCTATCATTTTTATTCTGGCTGGGTTTCTCTATATGAAAACTATGTGCTGTATTTGTATTTGACAAGAACTGCTTTTGTATCCTCTTTTAATCTGCCTAACAAACGAATCCCCCAGAAAGCTGTCTTGGTTCTGAAGTCACACTTTTTTATGCCTATCCTCAAAATCTCATAAATCCCAAATCCATTGCTCCATTAAAAGAAGAAGATGATGACAAAGACAAAAACAGGAAGAGGGGGTTATAAATCCCTGTTTCTGAGATTCCTTCCATGTGGAGTTTTAGTACAAAACCCTTAGCCTCTTGCTCCATGCCTTATCTTTCTCTCTGGAGCTAGACTGAGTAGTGGGCTATAGACATTAATACATATGTGTTTATAGAGTGGTTCTAAGTGTAGGTATTGGGTTTCTGTCTTCTCCCACTTCAGCCAATGGAAAGCAACATCCCATGTTACATCAATCAACAACAACCAACTGAAAATTCCAGAGTAATTAGCCTGGTGAACAAACTATGCGATATAATGAATTCACTCATGGTTTCTAAGATGCATTCCTCTAGTCCTCAACAAATATCTTCTGTTCCAAGGATTCTAGACTCTAAATAGCTACAATCTGTCCCTCACTGACCAATTCTAAAGACTCCCATCTATCTGGTTTTCTCTCACTCACCAGGGTGGCTCCAATGTGGGTTCTCTCCCTCTACCATCTGCAGCTCTTGTTCTTGCTCCACCTTGAAGATCACTTTTGTTTTGGTAAGTGGACCCCCTGTTCATGGGAAACAACACATAATAGGGAACAAGGTGCTAAGGACAAACAACCTCACAACTCAGGTGTGCCTCCTTGAGTCTCAGGGCCTGTAAAGGATGACAGAAAGACTCTTCTCCATTTGGCACGTAGGAGCACAAACAGACTATCTGATCCCCAAAGGGGATGAAGAATCTTTGATCACTAAAACTCAGGGCCAAACTTAATGAAGCTTTGGAATGTTCACAGCTTTCACAAGTCTTCAAGAAAAGGCACTATTAATTCATTCTTAGTTACAATGAAAAGTTACCACCCACTGTCCTTACCCACTGAGATGAGGTTTCTAAAGTTCTCCAACATCACATCCCAATACAAGGTTCTCTGATCACAGTCAAGCAGCTGCCACTCCTCTGAGGTGAAGTCCACAGCCACATCCTGGAATGTCACTGATCCCTGTAACAGCACATTGATCTTCAAACTAAAGTGTGAATCTTTTGGGACTTGCAAGAGAATCATGTCAGCCTCATATGGTCATATTATGTTCACTGTTGAGTTTTCAGAAAGTTATATGTGATAACTACTGCATGTTTGATTCAGAAATAGACTCTGTGATAGAAACAAAAATCATGTTTTAAAATATTTAACTAGTGCCAGGACAATTCAATGGGGAAAAGTATAGCCTTTTTTACAAATGGTGTTGGGACAACCGGATATACACATGCAAAAGAATAAAATTGGATACCCCTCCCACACATACCTCACATCATATACAAAAATAAACTAAAAAAATTTAGGTGAGAGTCCTAAATGTAAGACCTAAAACTAAAAACTCTTAGAAGAAAACATAGGAGTAAATTTTTGTGACCTTGGATTAGCCAGTGGTTCTTAAATATGACAGAAAAAAAGTATGACAAAAGAAAAAATAGATAAGTTGGAATTCATCAAAATTTTAAAATTTTGTGCTTCAGAGGACACCATCAAGAAAATGAAATGACAATACAGAATGGGAGGAAATATTTGCAAGTCATATATCTGATGAGAGACTTGTATCTAGAATATAAAAAGAACTCTTATAACAACAATATAGAGACAACCCAATTTAAAAACAGGCAAAGGATTTAAACATTTCTCCAAAGACATATACAGTCCATAAGCACATGAAAAGATGCTCAACATCATTAGTTATTAGTAAAATGCAAGTCAAAAGCACAATGAGATATCACTTCACACACACTAGGGTGGCTAAAATTAAAGACAGCCCAGCCGGGCATGGCTCAGCGGTTGAGCATCGACCTAGGATCCAGGTGATCGGGGTTCAATTCCCGGTCAGGGCACATGCCCGGGTTGCAGGCTGCAGCCGATCAATGACTCTCATCATTGATGTTTCTATCTCTCTCTTCCCCTCTCCTTTCCTCTCTCTGAAATCAATAAAGATATATTTAAATTAAATTAAAGACAGACAATGAAAGGTGTTAGCAAGGATGTGGAGAAACTGGAACTCATACATTGCTGGTGGGATTGTAAAACTGTGTAGCAACTAAGGAAAACAGTTTGGCAGTTCCTCAAAATGTTTAACATAGAGTTACCATATGATCCAACAATTTCTCTTAGGTATATACCCAAGAGAATTGAAAATACATGCCCACACAAAAACCTGTGCACAAATGTTCACAGCAGAATTACTAATAATAGCCAAAAAGTGAAATCAATATGGGTATTCATCAACTAATGAATGGATAAACAATAATGCCCATGATGCAATATTCAGCAATAAAAAGGTATTTACAACATACATGAAAATATTGTGCTGGGCGAAAGAAGTCAGTTACAAATGATCACATATTATATGAGTCCATTTGTATAAAATGTTCAGAATAGGCAAATCCATAAAGAAAGTAAATAAATTAGGGCTGTGGGAAGGAAGAAATGGGTATTGGGTTTCTTTTCAGGGTAATGAAATTAAATAGTGGTAATAGTTTCACAATTCCATGAATATAACGAAACTGGTGAATTGTATACACTTTAAACAGGTCAATTTTTAATATGCAAATCATAGCTCAACAAAATTATTCCAAAATATTGCTTATATATTCTTCATTCAGTCACTCATAAAATATTTAATGAGGACCAGATACTGTACTAGAGATGCAAAAAAGAAAACTATTACTGTCCTCAGAGTTCTTACAGTCTATTTGACACTACAAAGTAAACATGTAAGTGCAATAAGATGTTACAGGAACTGTAAGGTTAACATACCAGACTCGCATAAGCATAATAAAATAGGGAGATATGGATTTTTGTTAATATGATAAAATATATCCTCTGAACCATAAAGCCAAAATCATATTTAATTAACTTAAACTGAAAAAAAAAAGGCATTTGGCTACATGTCTATCACAGAGAGTTAAGACCATCTAGAGTAGGGGAAAGCAGGGGTCAGCAAACTACAAAACATAGACTGGCCTCCCATTTCTGTAAATAAAATGTTACTGGAACGTAGTTACATTCATTTACCTCAGCCATAAGGTCAAACCTGTGTAGTTTCCACAGAGGCTAAATGGCCTTCAAGCCTAAAATATTTACTATCTGGCCCTTGAAAAATTTAAGAGACTAGGTAGGGTTTATCCCAAGAATACATAGATAGCTCAATATTGGAAAATGTAGTAGAAAGTCTCTAAATTGCTATACTAGAGAAGATAAAATATATAATTTTATTGACAGGTATTAAAAAAGGATATGGTAAAAAAGTTCCCCATTTACGAAAACAATCTTCACAAGCTAAAAATTCTTAACTCGATTAAAAACAAAACCAAAAAACAACTATCTCAGAACACAAGAGGAAACAGTGAAAGCATTCCCATTAAAAATGGGACAAAAAATTTTGGCTAGCAATTACATTCAAAATTATAATTACTATAAGTCCTGTCCATTGCACTAAGATTAAAAAAAAAAAAAAAAGGAGACATACGTATTGAGCAGTCAGGGACAAACTCCATTTGAAGAGTTTATGATTATCTAATTGGAAAATCTAAGAATCATCTAAAAACCTCTTGGACTTAATAAGAGTTCTGTAAACTGACATACAGTCATGTGCTGCATACTGATGTTTGCATTAATGACTGACCACATAGACAATGGTGATCCCATAAGATTATAATGGAGCTGAAAAATTCTGATCACCTAGTGACATTGTAGCCATTATAACCTCATAGTGCCACGCACATTACTCATGTTTGTGATGATGCTGGTGTAAACAAACCTATTGCACTGCCAGTCATATAAAAGTATAACATATAATTATGTACATATAATTATATTATAACATATAATATTTGATAATGATAATAAACTACTGTTACTGGTTTGTGCATTTATTATACTATACCTTTTATTGTTATTTTAGATACTCTTTCTACTTATTAAAAAGTTTTCTGTAGAACAGTATGCCATGTTATGCTGGCAGTAGCCTCATACATTTCATGATCCAGTATCTCTTGATCGAATCATTTTCTCTTGTGCTTGGTTTAATCTCATGTTTATACAGTGATGTGATGTACAGACTTATAGCCTAGGAGCATCAGGCTATACCATCTAGCCCACACATGTAGGTTTGTGTAAGTATACTATATGATGTTCACAAAATGACAAAATCGCTTAATGACGCATTTCTCAGTTGTAAGTGGTGCATGACTGTAAAGTCAAACAGATTAATCCATACTTTCCTATATAACAGAATAGTCAATAAGAAAATATAATGAATAATATCCATACCATAGCCACATGTAAGAATAAACATTACAAAAAATGTACAAGAATTACAATAATAAAAGTATAAAACTGTAATGAAGGACCTATAAAAAAATTAAATAAATGAAGGACTCATTATTGAAAAGTCATTCTCTCCAAAGTAATCTAAAAGTATAATGCAATCACAATAAAAATACCTAACACACACTCCTTCAGGGACCTTGACATGATTTTAAAATGCACATAAGAGAAAATGCTCAAGAATAGCTAGTTGGAGACCCTGAAAAAGGTACAAGGGTACCTTTTACTTATTTTTCTGGATAAACATTAAAAGGGCTTATCTAGTGCTGCTTAGCACTGTGTTCTCTATTTACTCTAGGGAACACTGTAAGAAAGGCATAGGAAATCTGATGTTATAATTATCACAGGGCTCTTACAGTGAAAGTTTTAAATAATATCTCTAAGATATTTCTTCAGAGAACTGTGCCAGGAATAACTTTACTTATCTGGGGTACTGTTTTGCTTTATCTTCACAGACAATGCCAATACTTTAACTGGTTGGTTATCCATTTTCTATGATGGCCAGAAATACTGGGTACACAAATGCAGCTCAAATTTATTCCAACTATGTGCAGACCCTGTGACTTGAATATTAACTTATCCATTTTCTAAATTTCCTTTTGGACCTAATCTAGTCAATCTACATTTCCCCTGACTATACATTTCCTTTTTATATGGATTTTTGAGAGATTTAAATGACTGAATAAAGGGATGCCTTACCTGGAAGTTGATCATTTTCTGCAACTCTTGCGTGGAGATCTATGAAAGTGAAAATGGGGAAGTGAAGAGGATATTAAAAACCAGGACTGAGATGTAGAACCCTGCTCAATCAGAAAGGAGGCACCCACACTGCAGCCTCAGAAAATGCCACCCACTGGGAAAATGTTTCTAACAAGTCAGAAAAGCCCCTGTTTTATAAGTACCAATCTCTACTTGTGATTCTGTTATGAATATATGGATGTGGTACATTTCTGTCCTACTGAACTAACAGCAAGTTGTTAACCTTTGAACCAGTGGCATGTTTCTCCCCAGAAATTTATCCTAAGGAAATAATAATGAATGAGTTAAAAGGCTAACTAAAAGCCTGGTCTCTTCCCAGCCGGTGTGCTCAGTTGGTAGAGCCATCAGACCATGCACCAAGAGGTCACCAGTGTGATTGATTCCTAGTCAGGGCACATGCCTGGGTCAGGGGGCGTGCAGGAGGCAGCCAATCAATGACTCATCATTGATATATTTCTCTCTCTCTCTCCCTCTCCCTTCCTCTCCCTAAAATCAATAAAAAATACATATATTTTTTAAAATACCGACAAGTCGAAATTTACTCAGCAGTACTTACTTCTCAAATATTTCAAAAGAAGAATAAATCCAACTCTTTGTTTTTTGCAGGGTGCTATCTTCCAAAAGAGAATGAAATTTGGAGAACACTCATCTGGATTTAAATCTCAGCTCTTTCGCTTACTAAGCTGTGTGAGTCTAGCCGAGTAACTTCACCGCTCTCAGCTTCAGTTAATTCATATGTAACAGTGACTTCAGGTGATGGTTGTGAGAATGCCTTAATAAGAGAACATAGCAGTTTCTCTGGAACTGCTTTCCTCCCAGATTCCCTGAAATGGTCCAACATTTCCTGCTGCAGGCTCTAGTAGTTCTAACGGTGCTCTTGTCACCAGGAAGGGTACAGTCTGATGCACAGACTCCGGCACAGTGACCTTTACCAACGATGGCAGGAATGCAAACTGAGCGAGCCCCTGCCCCAGCCCCACCCGGGATCTAGGAACCCACGAGTGGCAGCCGGAGCCCCGCGCTTGCTGTCTCAGAACTACTCCAGACATCCAAACCCAGTCACCGCACGTGCGGGTTGTTAAGTTGTGCCTTCGGTTGGGTAAGCCAATAAGCCGGCCCCTGTCTTTCTCCCCGCCCTTCCCTTAGCCTGCAGAGTCGTACCTGTCAGCCTTTGACCGCCAAGCGCCCAGCTCCGGCTCGAAGTCCTAGATCGGTTTACACAGATCTCCCAGAGATTCGGGGCGCAACACCCGCTGTCACGCCTCACAGATCCTAAGATCACAGAACGCTGGCTACCGCCCCACTGCGCGTGTGCGGAAGTAATCGCCCACCTAGAGTTCCCAGGCTCCCCCGCGGTGTAGGCCATCCACCCGAAACTACATTTCCCATAAGGCCCGTAGAACTCGTTTCCGGAGAAAGTTAGATGTTTTTTACCTCATTTTGGGGAGATCCGTGGATTTGTATCTATGGCGCCGCCTTGAGAGCCATGCTCATTTTTGAAAGTGTCGGCAGCACTGAGGTATCACTCGACGTCCTGACCCCCGGGTAATATCAGGGGGGGCTGATCAAGGCCGGGACCCTAGGTGGTCTTGTCGCCTGTCGGCCGCCTCCCCCGGCTCAGGGCCCCGGCTGTGGCTCAAAATGGAGTCCGTTATGCTAAGTCCGTGCTCGCCGCAAAAAAAGGCAGGTGTACGTATCATTTTTGTTTAAAACAGATATCTGAATTTTTAAACACTGGAAAATTTAAATCAGCATTATGCTGTGAGGATAATTTACCCTTACTCAGTTCGGTTTCTTCTAGCAATGCAGTAGCTTAGGTCAGGTTGATGAAGAGGGCCCAACGAAGGAGACGGGATGAATAATCCCTGAGGCAGATGGAAAAGTAGGAGAGTCTGGATCTGAAAAATCACGGGGAGACAATGCTTCAGGAAGAAGGGTTGGTCCGCTGTGTTCAATGCTGCTGATAGGTCAGCTACAACAGAACTAAGACTTGATCCTGGCGTTTAGCAGCGTGGAAGTTGCTGAAACGTGGCGTTTTAGGGTGGTGGCGGAAGTCTGATAAGATGGGATAAAAGGATGGGAGGAGACGAAGTGGAGAAAGCAAGTACGGACATTATTTTAAGAAGTTTTGCATTTTGAAGAGCAGAAAAGTAAAGCTGTGTTTGCATGTGGGTTATGGGTCCAGAAATTTTTTTAATTGATTTGAGGGACGGCGAGGAAGAGAGAGAAACATCGGCTTGTTCCACTTATTTATGAATTCATTGGTTGATTCCTGTACGTGCCCTGACCAAGGATTCAACTTGCGGCCTTGACGTCAGGAGGACCTCTGACCAACGGAGCTACCGGCCAAGGCCAGAATTTTTTTTTAAGATGGAAGAAATTACAAGTATGTTTGTATCATAATAAAAATGGTACAGCAGAGAGGGGGAAACGGACAATACAGGAGAGACAGGGCAGTTACGGGAGGAGAGTCCTTGAGGAGAGAAGGGATGGAATTCAGTACCCGAGCAGAAGGATCAGTTGTGAGAATGTGGACAATTCATCCACTGAAACAAAAGGGGAGGCAGAGCTCACAGGTACAGATGCAGATGGGCGGGCAGATGTGGTGGTGAGAGAATTAGGATGTCCTCTCCTGAGTGCTTCTGTTTTCTCAGTGAAATAGAAAGCTGAAAGTGAAGATAGGAAGGTATTGGAGATCGGAGGAGAGAAACCATAAGAAATAACTGCACTACATTGATTCTAATACACCTTTTTTTCATATGTCAACATCTGTGAAGTTGCTGTCTTATAAGTGATGACATGCCGTAGTGTAACTGGCACTTTTTCTTTCATAGTAGTATGTAAAATAATGATACATCTTATAATCGATGACATCTGAGATTCTAATGTTACTGAGGAATATGGAAGAGTGAATGAATTAAGGAAATGTATTATTGTTGCCTGGCAGCATTAAGAGCCCACTTGAAATTAGTAATCATTGACGTGACTGGCATTCTCAATGTCATAGACATATTTTTATATCTCATCTATAAAAAAATCCTGTCTTGACCTATATCCCACTTGAGCATCACTCCATTTCCTAGTTTTCCTTCACTGAGAATTTTCTCTAAAAAGTTGCTTATTGCTGCCTACGTTTTCTCACCTCCCGTTTTCTCCTCAGTCCAATCTAATTGGCTTATTGATCCTAACTGCTTTCCTGAAACTGCTCTTGTCAAGTTATTGATGAAATTCCAGTTGGAAATGTAAATGGAACCCCTGTCCTCATCATATGAGACCTCCAGAGCATTCAACAAAGTTGAAATAAAATCTTCTTTGTGAGGTTTCTGGAGCATCTTACAAAAACTAGTTTCTCCCACCTCACTAAGACTATTTCTCTATTTCTCTTTTACTGAATACCCTTACTGTATTCCAGATCCAAATGTTGGAATACTAAAGGGTTTGGCTTTGGGCCTTTTCTTTTTGCAGTTCTCAACAAATCGGTTTCATTTGGTCTCGTGGCTTTAAAAACCATTTATATGACAGTGACTGACAAAGTTTTATCTTCAATCCTCACCTCTTCCCTCAGCTTCAGACCCCTGATTCCTTATGTCCACCTGAAATCTCCCCTTGGTATCTAAAAGCCACCCCCAACTTCACATGTCCAAACCAAACTTTTAATTCCTCCCTCCACCCATCCCAGCAAGCACTTCTCTTAGTTCAGTGAACACACCGTCGTCAACCTGGTCAATCAAGCAGAATTTTAGGAGCCATCCTTGATTTATTTTGTTCCTTTTCCTTTCTATCACTCATAGTATATATGTTCTATGAGGGCATCTATTTTTGTTTGTTTCTGTGATACTGTGATTTATAAGAAAATATGTATTTCATCTTCTTCCCTGTTTCTGGCTCAGAGCTCCTAAAACTCTTGAAATTTCCTAAGCAATGAGAGTGATAATTCTCTTTTATGTTAATGAGGTGACTTTTGGACTTCACCTAAGGATGGGGGCTAGTTGCCAGGAGAACCAATCATGTGACTTAGAGGGTTGAAACTTTCAGTCCCACCCCTGACCTCTGGGGAAGGGAGAGAGGCTGGAGGATGTTAATCAGCAATGGTCAATGATTTAATCAGTCATGCCTATGTAATGAAGCCTCCACAAGAACCCAAAAGAATAGGGTTCAGAGAGCTTCTGGGCTGGTGAACACGTGGAGGTTCCAGGATCAGTGGCAAGCCCAGAGAGGGAGGGCATGAAAGCTCTGTATTCTTTCCCTTATACCTTGCTTTTCTATCTGGCTGTTCCTAAATTATATTCCTTTATAATAAACTGATAATCTAGTAAGTACAATGTTTCTCTAATTGAACATGAGGAGGGAGTCCTTGGAACTTCCAGTCTATAGCCTGTAGGTCAGAAGCACAGGTGACAACCTAGACTTGCAATTAGCATCTGAAGTGGAGGGGGCGCAAACTTACAGGATTGAGCACTTAACCTGTGGGATCTGATGCTATCACCAGGTAGATAGTGTCAGAACTCAGCTGAATTGTAGGATACTCAGTTGGTGTCAGAGAATTGGTTGGTGGTGGAGAAAAAATCACACACACATTAGAATTGGTGTGAGTGTAATTTTACTTCTGTTCATGACATTATCTCCATAGCCTGGCACATAATAGGTGCTAAATAATTTGTGAATACTGAATAAATGTGAAACTGTTTATAGCTTCATCCTCTTAAGTGCATTATGGAACTTGTCTGGCTCAGCATCTTGAACCTATAGATCAATTTGGGGAAAATTGATATCTTAACAGTACCATTTTCCAATCCATGAGCATGGTATATCTCATTTATTTAAGTCTGCTTTAATTTCTCTCAGCAGTGTTTTCTAGTTTTTGGTGTAAAGCACTTGTGTATTTTTTGGTCATAAATATCCATTTCATATTTTTGATATTCACAAGGAAAAATGAAATTATTCGACATGTGAAGACTACAAACCAAGGAAGTATTTGTAGAAAACATCATCAGTGATCCTGAGGTGATCCCAATTACAGATGCCTCAACTATTCTGTGAGAAGCCATAAGGCAATAACCAGGAGATGTTAACCTAAAAAGTAAAGATTTGAGAGCTCATGGAATTACTGGTTTACAGAAATGCTGGATTCTGACAGGGTTACTGTCTGAAGCCAGCTGATTTTCTCATTTTCCTCTTCTTAAAACTTCTAGTATAAATGTTACAGAACCCTGAGCAAGTTCTTCTCTTGAACACTATTAGCTTAATACTGTTTATTCCATAAGATCCAGTTTACTATGCCCCCAATTTGATGTCAAACTTCCTAGGGCCTAGAATAACATACACTGCATGAAGCTTAACATCAGCAAGAAAAGTTTACAGCATAATGGTTAAGAGCATAAGCAGTGCGGTCAGACATACTCGGTTACAGTCAATCACTTTCAAACTGTGGGATCTTAGACAAGTTTTATAAGTCTTCTGAGCCTCAGTTCCCTCACCAGGGATAACAGTGAATACATAGATTTAATCATAAAAAGTGCTTAGCACAGTGCCTGGCACATAACATTCACTCCATAAGTGGGAAGAATTATTATCACAAGGTTCCCATTGTCAATGAGAAAAGAGGATGTGTATAGTTCAGAAGGCCTCCAGAGGTAACCTATGGTATCTCCTATAAATGTCCAGGTTTTACCAGTTCATGTATAACAGAGTTACAGTAACAATAGTCACCATGTTCTGCTGGCTCTTGGCCTTCCACTTAATATAGAAACTCCATCCCTGCCAACTGCTCTCCCCCTCCGTCCACTTCTGCCAATTCTCTAGTAGTGTCTCCATAAACAAGCCTTCACCTTCTAGATGATGTCCCGATCACTCTTTCCTCTAGCCCCTTTGGTGATGTTTACAGCTAAGGGCTCCCCTGCCTTCTAAGGTATACTGAAATTCCTCTCCACTATCTTTACATCTTCCTTTCAATGTTTTTATTTTTGTTTTTCACTTTATAAAAAGGGTAATACCGTGTGTGTGTAAATAACCTTTTGGGACTTATTTTTTTCACTTAATATTGTGCTGCTAAGATTCAGCCACATTGTTGCATGTCCCATTGTAGCTCATTTGTTTTGGCTGCTATACCACATCATCCACTCTTCTGATGATGGGCACCTGGGTAGTTTCCAGGTTTAGGTTTCACTATTGTGAAAGTGCTACAAAGTATATTCTTGTTCATATTTCCTGTTGTGTAAGAGTTTTTCTTAACATATACCTAGGAGTGGTAATATTGGGTTGTACAGTGTAACTGCTACTTCATGTATTATATTTGTCATATCTAACATTTTCATTTTATGATTTTCTGTTCCTGCTTAATATTCCCTTATTTCTTTGAGCATATTTACTATGATTATTTAAAATGCTTGGTCTGCTCATTCCATTAATTCCACTTCAAAAATATGTTTATGTATGTACTTAAAGGCTTAGAATAGCATACACACAACCATTTACAATGGTCACCTTTGAAGGATTGAAATTATGGGGAAAACCATACGCACACAAAAAAAAGCATTAACTGACCTGGCAGTGTTTCATTTTATTTTATTATATAAAATGTAGAAAGCCTTAATTGAGAAAAAATAAGGACAAAACTTAACAGAAGCTAAAGAATCTTCTTAGGAAAGCAGTGATTGCTGAAGGATACCTTTGTTCCAGCCATGACGAGCGTCTGTCTTCTTGGCAATCTATGCCAAAGCCCCAACTATAGTATAATCCCAGATCTCTCCCACTCACCCGAGCCTTGGTCCTAGATTTGAATGGTTAGAGGTTGAGAAAATATGAAAAGAACCAAAATAAAATACTCTCCATGAAAGCCCAGCTCAGCAACTGGTCCTCTTTTACTCTACTGAGTACATCAGAAGCAGGAAGGGTCAAAGTCCCTTAAGGCATAACTTCTTTTCATTTGGTTTTGGCCTGGGGCTCTAGCATGGAGCTATGCACCCCACCACCCTTCCTCCACTCACAGATATCTGCATAGTTGCATGTCCGGCATTTCCAAGCCTCCTCTACATCAACCCCTTGAGGCTCTCGGTGGCCCATCCAGTAGGCCACATAGTGCTGCACTTTGCCTCTCAGCTCCTTCTCTTCAAAGGCCACGATCTCTGAACCCAGCACAGTGGCAGTCTCTTGGTGGATATAGTCAATCTTCAGAATGTCAATGACTGGAAGGTCAGACAGTGTTAAAGACAAGATGACCAGTTCCATGAGGTCACCCAAGGACGTCACAGAGAAGCCTCCCTGCTGGGCATGCCTCAGCACTGAAGGTCCCAGTGGCTTTTCTGGATGCAATTTTGTGTGGTGGATTAGGCTAGCAGTGGTCACTTTCCCTTGTACCATAGCATCAAAGATATATTTGTACAGGCTGACTTGAAAACGGTCTTTTTTTTTCTGAGCTTCCAGAGGGAGCATGGGGCGTCTGCGTGTCTTGAGTTCAACCAGTTCCAGTTCCCCCTTGGGTGTATAGTGAAGCTCATCAATCACTCCAACAAGAAGCACACCCTCTACTTCTCCAAACACTGGAAACTCTCTGATGCGCCCTTCTGACTGCAGGGTAGGAATCATTGATAACATATTCAGAAACTTAATTCCCCATGCATCTTCTTTGCTGGTAGTAGGGACAGTCACAAGATCATGAACTTCTAGTTCTCTAGCCAGGTGGATGCTGGCACCAGTGTCCAAAACAGCTGCCTTCTCAGGTGCCAAGAAACCAGGAAGCTCCTTCCCATATACCATTTGCTGTTCACACCAGTTCTGAGTAGACAGGTCAGTCACATACAAATACTTAAGGTGGAATCGCTCCATGGGTGATGAGACATCCAATCCTCCTTTCCACTTTGGTAAGCTTATGGGCTTGCCATCCTTCCCAGGGAGTTCAGAAGAAGGACCAGGCTTGCTAAGTGAAGCACTTGCCTGCTGGGTATCTTCCAGGTCCAGAAATTCCGAGTCACTCAAGTCTGAGAACCCTGAGGCCTCTGCTGACACCGCTTCCTCTTCCCCAGTCTCTGCCATGGCACAGCTCTGGACTGGGCTAGGCCCTGCACATCATGTTAGAGAAATGCATTATCCAAATAAGTAAAAAGAATTATAACTAATTATTTACATTCCTTAAAGAAGCCTACTTGTTTACAATCAATTAGTAATGCTACAGAGTTGTAGTACAGGTACAATTTACAATAATAGGGCCCCCTGTATCATCCATGTATGAACGCTTAAAAATTTTTTTAAGTGAAAAATAGTTTTATTCCTGAATCTGGCACTAACATATTATGTGTGACTTTAAGCAAATCACCTTCCTTGGCCTCAATTTCTTCATTTAAAAGATTTGAGTTTGCCTTTTCTGCTTCAAAATTCTACTGACTTGGCACATTGTTTCACTATTTTAAGTGAATACAGATCTTTGTAACTGTTGGAACAATGTTTGACAGTTTACCATGGATCACTTCCACAATTCCATTGATACAAAATCCTTGACTATGAAAATAAATCTCAACTACAAAATGTTCTTGAGAAAAATCAGCTCCACAATGGCTGTTTTTAAATGTAGTTTGCAAGAACAAAATTGCAACTATTGACACAAATAGATCTACTCATACACAAAGTAATAGCCTGAAGTAACAAGAGAGGATGTTCACAGAGACATGTGGAAATCAGTTGCTTTTTACACTTTAGATATGTTAAGGAAATGGCAAGGACAAAAAGCTGCTGGTGGGTTTTACTTTATCCTTACTGACTGTATAAATTATATTCCTAACATTTTTATTTTCTCCCTCCACAAGACATTAGCTTATGATGGAAAATATCTGTCAATAAGCACTATTAGTATCAATAATATAATCAATTATATAAATAATAGTGATATTCATTATGCAATTATCGTGTGCTACAAAGTGTTTCACACGCCATATCTCACCATTCTACCATAGGACAGGTACTTTAAAAAAATTTTATTATGAAAAGTTTCACACATACAGAGAAACAAAAAAACAGAACCATGAATACCCATATAATGTACACACCATCTAGGTAAACAACTGTTGACATGTTGTTGCCTTTGCTTCTTTCATGTGTGCTGCTTTTTTTTTTCCTTTTGGCTGAACTATTTTAAAGTAAACTACGGACATCATAACACTTCAAATATAAATATGTACATTCTCCTACATCAACTACAATACTATTATCACATCTTACAAAATCAGTAATTCCCTAACACTCTGGTCCATAATCAAGCTTCTTCAGCTGCCCTAAAATGTCTTTGATAGCTTTTCTTTAAACCGGGAAACAAAGACCACACATCTCCTTTGACTGCTTTGTCTCTCAGGTATTTTTAATCTTAAGAAACTAGGCAAATTATCTTGTGAAGATACTCGTTTGAAGCCTTCCTCCTAACCTCACATATCTAACCTTGCATAGAGAGAAAACAAAACAAAGTATACCCAGTCCACTAGTATGTGACTTTGGGTGCCAGAAAAATAAATAATTTGACACAGAATTTAAGCCAGTTGAGGTAACTATGGGCCATTTCCTCCCTCTATTCTAATAAGCAACAAGTAAGCTGAATGCACCAACTCCCAGGTTTAAAGCTTAAGAATTGATGCCTTGAAAACGGTATACTTGAATAGAAATAAAACAGAGAAGATGCACATTGCACAAGTGTCTGAAACTGTAAATGTGCCTTAAATGATGATAGCTTCAAAATGAGTAATGTTATATGGAGCATGAAGTCTCTGAAGGTTGGAGAGAATCTTTACCCTCTACCAAGAAACTAAAGTTAAAGGGCAATGAGCAGGTATACTTTGGGGTTTCCACCCCCAACCCACCACCACCACCACCCCACACCAGAGACAGGGCACTAAATCCAAATCAACTGACCTCGAAAATATTTCATTTCAAATATCTAGACCTGGGTTGTTCAATATGTAGCCACCAGCCACAGATTACTAAACTTAAATAAAATTAAATAAAATTTAAAACTCATTATCTCAGTTGCACTGAGCACATTTCAAGTGCTCAGTAGCTACATGTAGCTAGTGGGTACCACGTTATAAGGCACAGATACAGAACAGTTCCCTGATTGCAGAAAGCTCTATTGGACAGTACTGTTTTAGATTATTTCATGTTCATGTATTAACTGTCCGAAGAGGGAGTATGCTCTTGAAAGGTAAGGGCTTCCTACTTGTTTTTTCATACAACATTGAGGAGAGTAGCCCTAAACAGGTTAAGTAAAATGTTTTGTGGAAAATACACAAAGCGAGGGTGGGGGGGTGAGGTGCATTCTCTGTAGAATTATTCATCTAAAAGAAAACAATACACTGGGGATTGGCAATTTAGACTCAGATGTGCAGCTGGGACTTTCCTATGCAGAAAAAACCCCAACAAGAGCATGATGCAGTGCACTGCCTCCCAAAATGCAGTTTGAATCTTCTTGACATGGGATGATTTTACATGGTACATTGATCAACATTTTTAGATGTACCTTAGAATAAATGTAGTTATTAAAGCATCCATCAAATGTATAATTTCATAGGTAGTGTTTCTTAGAGAAGTTTGATTTTTAACTAAATTAAAAATACGGAAATAACAATAAAGATAGTACATAGGTATGGCAAAAATCATTAGGTGGCAGGTGAGTGAGATGTTTGGGACACACCAGCGTAGTGTCTAGAGTCTGGGGAATCCTACAGATCTGGATTCTTAACCTGATCCTGACTAGGTCAGTAGTATTTGGTAGAATGCTTCTTGCTTTAGGGAGTACTCTTGGGCAAGTTTTCCTGAGGCTACTGATACATCTTTAAAATTAGAGTATTCCTTCAAACTGTACTCAGTTACCCAACTGATTAAGTGATACAACAGTATACATATTGGCACTGAACAAATGTGGGTCTTCTTCCCCTTCCCAACGAAGAGACAGTGTATCAATTCCCTCTGACAAAGCAGATTACACTTGAGCAGAGAGGAAAACCACTCACCTGGGACTTGGTTGGCCTTCCTCCCCACAGGGCGAGAGGAATGCTGAAATGACAAGGCTGGGGGAGGGGAGAGGAGCTCTGAAAGGCCAGGTCTGCATCCAAGGCTCCAGGTTAGCAGCTCTGGGCTTGCTGTGGGAGAACGAGGACTTCGGTCCTTTCTCACCCGACCAACCCCACACACTGGCGGTTCCTCCTCTGTGACCCGCACTGCACAAGCCTCTCTCCAGGGGCAAGTCCTCCGCGACTCCTCCAATCTCCCCAGACCCTGGATGCAGCTACTTCATCCAATCCCTGTTCCTGGCAAGCAAAGGGATGAAAAATAACCAAGGTCCCCCCGGACCTCCGCGGTCGGTTCCCTCTTCCAGCCCCAAGCTCAGAGGAGAAGCTCGGGCAGGGACCGCAGGTCACGGTGCTGCCTGCGCGGCCTCAGCGTCCGACTGGCTCGGAGCAGCCGGGCTTCGGGCTCCGGGGACGTTGGCCTGCAGGAGGTGCCTTTCCACGCGCCCCACACCGCGGCCCCCGGGAGTTCCACGCTTGCCCTGAGGTTGCCGAGCGCTTCCGACAATGTCCTGGAGGAGTTGGGGACGGCAGCAAGGGGTCGCCGGCCTCCGGAAGGGGTCCCAGCGGAGCGCAGGGTCTCCCGAGGGTGAAAGGTCCAGAAACTACAGGAGCCCGGCCCGCGCGGGCAGAGGGGACGAGCCGCCGCCACCCGGGGAGGCGGGGGCGGGACGCGGCGACGGCGGGGAAGGACCCCTGAGCTCCAAACGCAGCCCCTCAGTCCGCCACCCGCATTC